GATGGGCACTTAGCCCGGTAATTTATGCTCATAAATACATACAAAAAGTTTACACTTGCTGTTTCTTTCTTGCCTATGGCTTGAGATGCTGGGGGATTTTATCCTCCAGTGATTTCAGAAGAGAGATCCATCGAGGATTCTGACCATTCCCATTTTTCTGACATCCCTCCTGAGTACCTGATAAGGTACCTGTAGGTCTAGACTATTTTGGTAACTGTCTGGCCATGGGTTTGTCTAAGAGCGAGTCTCTCTGAGCAGCAAAGAATTCTTGGAAAAGAAGCTTGTATTTTTAATGCCATGTACAGGATCCAAGTGGTTGCTGCTAAAGAAGCACACGGGTACAGAACTGAGAACATGACAGCAGCCAGAGACGTTCTCTGCACCTTCCTGTTAGAGCCACACGGAGATGGAAATTGTTTATCCCCAAAGGATTATGTAATGCAAACAGTTTTAGACATGAAAGAGTACAGGCAGGCATGTACTTTGGAAATACTGCTTAAGAGGGAATTCTCCGATGAAGAGGACAGCTAGTTTTTTTTTTTTTTCTCTCTCTCTCTCAAAAATAGGATAATAGTGGAAGTGCCCAAATGATGTTCCCAGTTTACCAGAGAGAAGCTCTCATCCCCAGCCTTTGTGGTGACTTTATGTTATGGGGATTAGACATCCACTTCCTTCAGTTTTAAAAATTTACCATTGTTAAGATATTATTATCTGATACACAGTCTATATTCAAATTTTGCCTATTGTCCCAACTGTTTTTAAAAAGAGCTGAGGTATGATTGGCATAAAAGAAACTGCATATATTTAATATATGTGATTTGATCAGTTTTGCATATATTTGTGAAACCATCACCACCATCAAGATAATGAACATATCCAACACTGTTTGAAGTCTCTTTATGCCCTTTGGTAATACCTTTCCTCTGTCTTCCTCTAGTCCCCCCCTCCATCCCTAGGCAACCATTAATCTGCTTTCTGCCCATATAGACTTAGTTTGCATCTTGTAACATTTTTATATACATGGAGATGTACAGCATGCACTTCTTTTTTGTTTTCTGGCTTTTTTCCCCACTCAGCATAATCATTTTGAAATTCATCAGTGTTGTTGCATCTATCAATAGTAGATGCGTTTTTATCACTTACTATTATATTGTATGGATATACCAAAATTTGTTTATCCATTGCCTTATTGTTGGACATTTGAGTTGCTTTCAGTTTTTGACTGTGAACATTCATGTATAAGTCTTTGTATGGACATAGGCATTTCTCTTGGGCAAATACCTAGGAGTAGAATTGTTAGATAATATGCTAGGTGTAGGTTAAGTTTTTAAAAAATTGCTAAACTATTTTCCAAAGTGGTTGTATTGTTTTACATTTCCATCAGTGATGTATGAGAGTTCTAGTTGTTCCACATCCTTGCCAGTCTTTTTTATTTTAATCATTCTAGTAGTTATGAAGTGTTTTTTTTAAAGATTTTATTTATTATTTATTTTTTGAAAGATTTTATTTATTTATTTGACAGAGAGAGACACAGCGAGAGAGGGAACACAAGCAGGGGGAGTGGGAGAAGGAGAGAAGCAGGCTCCCCTCTGAGCAGGGAGCCAAGTGTGGGGCTCAATCCCAGGACCCTGGGATCATGACCTGAGCCGAAGGCAGACGCTTAACGACTGAGCCACCCAGGCGCCCCCTGTGTCCCTCTTTATATTCATACCACCACCATGCTAGTTCAGCCTTTCATCGCTTCCTGCTTGGACTGTGACGGTGGCTTCTTAACCGATCACTTAGTTTCTAGTCTCTCTTCTGTCCAGCCCACTCACTGATATCTCTGATATATCAGTCTTCTCAGCTCACTGGGTTATACATTGTTTCTTTTTTAAAAGTCTGTAATTTATACCAACCATGATTTATTTCTTTGAAAAAAAATATTTTTGGGTTCTTCTAATTCATCCCTGACTACTCTACCTTACTCAACCTTATCTTCTGTGGCTCCTCTACACAAAAGTCTGCACTACAGCAAAAATGGTCTGTTATTCCCTGCATGCCCGACGGATACTTATGTCCACTGCCGTTCCTTTGTCAGCTCTATTCTGTTCTCTGAGAGTTCTTATTCCTCTTCCCATACCTGGTGTCTTATCCTAATTTCAAGGCTCCCCTCAATTTCTAGCTCTTTCATGAGTTCTTGCTTGGTCGTGTCAGCTTTAAGTAATCGTTCCCTCCTCTGAACTTATTGTCTGTCACGGGCAAATGAACATTTTATGTTATTTTGCATTTTTTAAGGTACTTTTTCTCTCCAGCCAGAGTCCAGCTTCCTTGAGTTTCAAGCCTCTGATGAGTTCCTGTGGTGTGCCTGCACTGTCCCAGATGGTTGTGTTTTAATAACAGTGCTTTACAGTAATTCTAGAAAGAATAATGCCTAACAAATGAAAAGGAAACACCAAGTTGTGTGACTGCATTTTCTATGTCTTGTATGTGTTGGAAACCAAAGGGCTCTGCTCATTCTGGCTTTTGAGTGTCTGCAGCATATCAGGTGCTTGCACTGATTCTTTCTCGCTGAGTCCTCATGGTTTTTTTGAGGCAGTTGTTACCCCATTTTACAGTTGTGGGTACTGAAGCTCAGACTTCTGTGTGCCCAGGCTTACACAACTGCTAAGTGGCAGAGCTGGGATTAAAATATTTCCCATGTCTGTCTGATTCTAAAGTCCTCTTCTTCTCTGTACCACACTGTCTTTTTGCAAGGATGGCTTGGCAAGGCATTCATATGGGGGTCATCTCTGAGGTATCTAACATTTTAGATTATCTGTGATAAATGTTTCAAGTTTATGGGAATGGAATCAAGTTGAGGAGATAAAGTAATTTATTTATACTATTCACTTGTATTTATTCTCTTTATTTCTTTCATCAACTCTCATGGCTTATGAAGTGTATAGTCCACCCAGAAGTCCTTTAAATAATGACCAAGGAAAACACAAATTAAATATGGAGAATTCTGCAGGATAGTCTAGGCAAGTGATTTCCATGTGTTTGACAGGTAACTATTTCTGGTTGTAAGGTAGGAATTTGGGGAATTGAGGCTGGCTCCTTAGAAGAAGCTAGGCAACATTTTCAGATTTACCTCAATGTACCCTTTAAAAGGTGGCTCAGTTATTTGGTTAGTAGTGTTATTGATTATAGGACACTAGTCATGCCTCAGTTTTTAAATGTAAGTACAAAAGAACACGTCCTAGAGCTCAATTGAAAAATCTATAGCTTCCCTCCCAAAAGCATCATGCAAAGTAATATTATATGTAGTATTTAGTGAGTGTCAGAGAGTGGGGAAATGTAAATGAACAATTTCAGCTGCCTGGGGGTGGAAACAGTGATTCATAGACTTAAGATTTGGAATTCAGGGTGCCTGGGTGGCTCAGTTGGTTAAGCACTGATTTCCGCTCAGGTCATGATCTCTCAGGGTCGTGAGTTCAACCACCCCCCCTCCCCCCACCGCCTCGGGCTCCATGCTGGGTGTGGAGCTTAAGATTCTCTCTCTCCCTCTTTTCTGCCCCAGCCCCCCACCCCTCCTTCCCCCCCCCCCCCCCGCAAGAAAGATTTGGAACTCAAACATTCTTGGTTTATATTCAAAGAAGAGAGGCATCAAATAAGTTGTATGAATGGAAAACAGCTTATTGACAGTGTGGGAATACTTTTGAAAGGAATAGAAATCATCAACCTTATTTTATTTTATATAGTGTCATCAAAATATACTAGTTTCCTCTATGCTAATTATTGAGTTGAAGGAATGGCATTTTTAGAAAACGTCCAACATGAAGCAGTTTATAGAATTCTCATGTACAAAAGGGACATTTTCTACTTTGGGGAGCTTTATGAATCATATTGAAAACCATAATAACTCACTTCTTAGCAGGTAACACCATTAGCTACCTCTTTCTCAGCTCAACCAACCACGGGAAACAGAAGTTGCTTTGTGGTTTTTTTCACCCGTATAATTACACTAATCATCATTTCAGAGAAAGACGAGGTCTCAGATGAGAACATGATATTTCCTTGACAGTATTGAATCTGAGTTGAAAAACACTTTGACTTTCCTGAAATTGAGTAGAAGTTATGGGTAGGGATGTTTAGGCTAGCATCATGCTTGTTTTTACCCCTCCGTTCTTGTACATCTACGTTCGGATATACCGTACCACCTCAGTGTTTTATACAGAGTGGGTACCTCATAAATGTTTCTTAAATTAATCATTCAGTATTTGTCTTTTTGTGACTGGCTTATTTCATTTAGCAAAATGTTCTCAAAATTCATCCATGTTGTAGAATGCAGTAAGATTTCCTTCCTTTTTATAAAAAAGATTTTACTTATTTATTTAAGAGAGAGAGAAGCAGAGAGAGAGAGAGAGCACAAGCAGGGTGGTGGGCAGAGGGAGAGGGAGAAGCAGACTCCCCACTGAGCAGGGAGCCCATGCAGGCTCAATCCTGGGACCTTGAGATCATGATCTGAGCTGAAGGCAGATGTTAACCGACTGTGCCACCCAGGCGCCCCAAATTCCTTCTGTTTTAAGGTTGAATAATATTCTATTGTATGTACGTACCACATTTTGTTTATCCATTCATCTGGCAATGGATATCTGGGTTGCTTCCATCTCTTTGCTTTTGTGAATAATGCTGCTATGAACATAGATGTGTGAATATTTCTTCAAGATCTTGCTTTCAGTTCTTTTGGATATATACCTAGAAGTGAGATGGCTGGATCATATGGTAGTTCTATTTTTAATTTTTTGAGGAACTGCCATGCTATTTTCCATAGTGGTTGCCCCATTTTACACTCCTACAACAGTGCACAAGGGTTCCTTCTTCTCTACATACTTGACAAAACTATTATTTTCTGTTTCTTAAATAGTAGCCATCCTAATAGGTGTGATTTTGATTTGCATTTCTCTAATGATTAACGATGTTGAGTATATTTTCATATCCTTATTGGCCATTGGTATATCATCTTTAGAGAAATGTCTGTTCAAATCTTTTGCCCATTTTTTAACCAGGTTATTTTTTTGTTTTGTTTTGTTTTGTTGTTGTTGTTGAGTTTTAGCAGTTTTTATGTTCTAGATATTAACCCCTTGTCAGATATGATTTGCAAATATTTTCTCTCATATTTCTAAAAATATTTTTACAACTTTTATACTGATATAATTTCAAATTTACAGAAAAGTTACAAGACTAGTACAAGGAACTCCCATATACCCTTTCTTCAGAGTTAGTATTTTTTTTAAGGAGCACCTGGATTTCTTGACATTTTGACATTTTGTTGAGTCCTTTAAACAGAACAAATGACTTGCAGCTGTGGGAGATGTAAAAGTATAAACATGGTTCCTGTCTGAATATGCAAAACAAATAAGGATGTTTATAAAGCAACCACTACAGATGAGAATAATACAAATAAAAACAAAAGTGAGAGGGGGCCAAAAGTAAGAATAATTTGAATTATTAGAATTGGAGACGTGTCCCAGTGTTTCTCAACACGGGATGATTTTTTTTTTCCCTAGAGAATTTTTTTTTTTTTGAAGATTTTAGATTTAAAGATTTTATTTATTTATTTTAGAGAGAGAGAGTGCCTGCGCACGCACGCGTGAACCAGCAGGGGGAGGAGCAGAAGGAGAGGGAGAGGGAGGGGGAAAGAATCTCAGGCTGACTCTGTGCTCCTCATGAGCCCAACACAGGGCTTGATCTCATGACCCGAGATCACGACCCAAGATCATGACCTGAGCCGAAACCAAGAGCTGACTGAGTTGACAGACTGAGCTACCCAGGTGCCCCCACCTAGAGGACTTTTCGCAATGTTTGGAGACATACTGGTTGTCACAACTGCAGGGGGCATGGGAGAAGTGATATTACTGGTGTACAGTGTGTAGAAACCAAAGATACTGCTAAACATCCTACAATGCACAGGACATTACCCCTTCCAACAAAGAAGTTTCCAGCCTAAATGTGAGTAGTGCCAGGGCAGAGAAACCATGCCGTATCCTTGGGAAGCAGACTTTGCTGAAAACCTGTCTTGAGGACTTTAAAGGCTCTGGGCCCAGAAACTCTCTCAAACACATCCAAACACTTGAATAACACAATGAAGACTCTGCCTGGTAAAATAATAAGGTGTGAAAAAATATTTTCTTCTCTTTTTTGTGCATAACCCACAATAAGAGGGCTTAGTTGCTGTGCTTACTATACATTTTCTGCAGCAAACAGTCTAAAAATGCTTTGCCTGGCTTGATTCTATATTGCAGTCACTTACAGCTAACATGTTCCTGTTATTGCATTCTTTTCTTTGCCACTTTCGGCTGTAAAAAAATATGTAAACTCGGAAAAAAGCGAACAGTACTATACAAAAGATCCTGAAGCTTAGAGAAAGCAAGCAGAGGTGTTGGGGGAATGTGCTTTACATGGCTTCTTTTCAATCCTTGGTTCATTGCAAAGAAGCTAGGTGTCAGTTCTGTTTTATCACTAAGTCCAGTAAGCTGGGAGGAGAATAAAAATAGCATGGACTTTGACCTCCTGTAGGGCTGGATATGAATCCAGGCTCATTCATTACTAGCTGTCTGACCTTGGGCAAGTAAATTATATACTCTGAACTCAGTATTTTTTTTTTTTTAAAGATTTTATCCATTTTTTGACAGAGACACAGCAAGAGAGGGAACACAAGCAGGGAGAGTGGGAGAGGGAGAAGCAGGCTCCCCACCGAGCAGGGAGCCCGATGCGGGGCTCGATCCCAGGACCCTGGGATCATGACCCGAGCCGAAGGCAGACGCTCAACGACTGAGCCACCCAGGCGGCCCTCTGAACTCAGTATTGCCTTCTCTGCCAGGGGGATAATATCTGCTTCACTGAGTGGTGAAGGGCAACGGAGGACAGTGGCTAAGGCTGTGGACTCTCACACCTGATTGCCTGGCTTCAGATCTTCACTCAGCTACTTCTCGTTGTGTGCCCTTTGGTAAATTTCTCAACCTTTTCTAGACCTCAATTTCTTCATATGAAAAATGAGAATAATTGTATTAGTATTTACCTTGTAGGACTGTTATGACATTAAATGAATTAATAAATGTAAAACACTTAAAGTGATGCCTGGCACATAGTAGGCACAATAAATGTTAGCTGTTTCGAGGGTTAATTTGAAATAAAGGATATAGAGAACCCTGTAGTGTCTAGCAAAAGAAGGTGCTTGATAACTGGTTTTTCAAAATTTAAATTTTAGTAGCTGACAGTTCATTATAATATAATGCCATCATACCAAAATTTCATTAGCCCCTGAAGTGAAATTAGTAGGGATTTGGTCTTAAGAAATCTTCAGGATACAAAAAGAAAAATGGTCTTTCTTTTGCTTCTTACTTGTGCTTGGCAAAGTCTCCTTTGAACCCAGGTTCAAAAATGTGCTTAAAAGAATTGCAGGCCTAGCCAGACTTCTGTGGAATTATAAGGGGACAACTAGAACAGCCACCTGAGTGTGTGGAGTGGTGAGGGATGTTTGGGTTGGAAAGAGCTGTTTTTCTAGCCCAGCTTTCATGAAAGCCCCATTGGTAGGAGGAAGTAGAGAAATAGGAGGAAAAGTTTGATTGTTTTCGAACTCCCTGTTTATCCTTGGGTTGTGGGTGTTTCAGGTGAAGGGCTCCTCTCCTTGACAGTGTAGGGGGTTTAGACTCACTCAAAGGTCATTTACGGTGGAACCAAATATCCTGCTATACCAGTCCCCTGCTAGATATTGGGTTGTAGACATATTTATAGAGCGGACATGGTCCATCCCTTTTTTAAAATATGAGAATATGTTATCTCATTGTAAAATAAAGTGTATGTAAAGGGTTTTGCCTGGCACTGTAGTGCTTTATTAAGAGTTAGCTGTCATCATCATCATCCTTACTCTTAAACTTATGTTTTAGTTTAGTTAAGAAACTATTAATACTTATTAATATTAGTAAGTAAGGAACTATTAATATTTATTCAGCAATTCTGTTTCCCTTTTTTAATTCTTTACGGCATACACACATTCAAAAAAGTGAATGTCATAATTCTACAGCTTGATGAATTTTCACAAACTAAACACACACGTGCCTTCAACACCTAACTCAAGAAACAGAATATTACCAGTACCCCGGAAGCCCCGCTCATGTTCCCTTCTTGCCATTATCCTTTAGTTTTTAGGAAAAAAATTGTTTTTCTCTTTAGTGACATTCAGAGCTACTCATGCATGGCTTTATGTAAACTCTTAATAGCTATGGCTGACAGTTATATCTGGCCTCATTACATGCTTTTATTTTCTTATGGTTTAAAAAGCACATCTCCTGGAAAGGCATTTTAGTCCTGCAGGCTGTTGCATTTGGACACAGATAGGCTGAATGATCTTGTAGATCGTCCTCTGCAAATAAGTGATGTGTTCTTTGCTTTTATTTGTCCATACTATAGAAGTCCATTGAAACCAAAAAGTTGTCCATTGTACTAAAAGAAAAGGAAATTGGCTCAGCTGCACAGACCTCTTAGATGTCTTCTCTAAAAGCATTCCACACTCAAAAGAGCTCAAGGCACATGAAAGAAATCCTATGGTGGAGGAAGACAGCACAATGCTGGGTGCACTTGTGGGCGCTCATCTCCTGCCATCGAACAAGGTGATAAGGCTGAAGGACTGGCTACTTCTGGAAGTAATGGACTTCAGTGTGTTTCTTTTGCTTTTGTCTGGACGTATTTAGAAAACCATGGGGAATTTTTCAGAAGGCAGCTTCCCAGAGGAAGAATAAAAATTGGGGGGTTGAGTTCGAGGCTCTTTATATCTTCTTTTTGAAATCAAAGTACCGATCACATTAACTGTGAAATCACCAGGACATTAGCGTTGCTTTGTGTGTCTTGTTTAACTTTTTTGGGCCCGGTTAATGACTCTGCTAAAATATTATATGTGCATTTCAGAATGTCATTAGTCATTTTTGGCCATTGTTTTATTTCTTGAGATTTATTAGTTAGTTTAAAAAAATTAAGATGTAATTCACATACCATAAAATCTACCCCTTTAAAATGTGCAGGTCAAGGGGTATTAGTATGGGTATTTACCACCACTATCTCATTCAAGAGCATTTTGTTCAACCCTGAGAAGAAACCTCTTTCCATTAGCAGTCACTCTCCCCATTCTGTTTATTTAGTTTTGCCAAATAAATGTCATTAGCTATCTTTATTTCATGGAAGTCTTTCTTTTACAGGGTGTCATGACAGTTGTGTGACCTTCTACATAGAGGTTTGTCCCATCTAATGTCCAGACTAAAGTTGATTTGGGGGTGCATTTTCAGCACTACCACCAACAACACGTTGACTGAAATTGTTCTTGGACATAAAATGACATATGTTTAGTTACAATTCAGTGCATGTGAACTACAGTGTAGTTCCCATGAAACTAAATGAGCATGTTGAAGATTTCTGAATATCTGCCAAATCTGGGCTCTGTTTTATTAGTTTGATGGATTGAGAAATCAGTTCTTCTGGCTTATATGGGAAGGTTTAAGTTTGTTTCTTTAACTAGTTTTTGAAAAAAATACATAAAATGTATTTGTATTTACACTTAGTTGATTTCTGAAGGATTGGAATTGATTATTTCTACATGACTGAGATTAACTTATTTAAAGTTTAGATTAACAATTTAGATTGATATTTTTTTGAATCTGTATTTTTATTATTTCAAAAGTAATATATGCTGATTGAAAAAAATTTTTAGTTACATAAAGCTTAGAAGAGTTGTTAAGTACAAAAAGAGAGTTGTCATTCTGCCTCTCACTTTATAGAGTTTACACTTAAACTATTTTTATGCCTAATCATATACTTGCTTAATTTTTACTTAACTTTTAAATATACTATAGCAATGCTTATTTATTGAATTGTGTTGTTCTACGTTCTATCACTGTTTAAAGTTTCTGGAGCATTTAAAAATTTTTTCCTTCCAAAATGGTGATTGATATATACTCTTAGTAATCTTTTGTAAAAATTACTGTGGTCTGCTATACTCTGAAAACTATAAAACACTGATGAAAGCAATTGAAGATGACATAAAGAAATGGAAAGACATTCCATGCTCATGGATTGGAAGAACAAATATTGTTAAAATGTGTATACTATCCAAAGCAATCTATACATTTAATGCAATCCCTATCAAATTACCACCATCATTTTTCACAGAGGTAGAACAAACAATCTCAAAATTTGTATGGAACCACAAAAGACCCCATATAGCCAAAGCAACCTTGAAAAAGAAAAGCAAAGCTGGAGGTATCACAATTCCAGACTTCAAGTTATATTACAAAGCTGTAAAGATCAAAAAAGTATGGTATTTAAAAAAAAACACAGTATGGTACTGGCACAAAAATAGACACATAAATCAATGGAACAGAAGAGAAAACTCAGAAATGATCCCACAATTATATGGTCAGCTAATCTTCAACAAAGCAGGAAAGAATAGCCAATTGGTAAAAGACAGTCTCTTCAACACATGGTGTTGGGAAAACTGGACAGTAACATGCTAAAGAATGAAACTGGAACACTTTATTACACCATACACAAAAAATAAATTCAAAATGGATGAAAGACCTAAATGTGAAACCTGAAACCATAAAAATCCTAGAAGAGAACGCAGGCAGTAACCTCTTGGACATCAGCCATAGCAACTTTTTTCTAGATATATCTCCTGAGGCAAGGGAAACAAAAGTAAAAAACTATTGGGACTTCATCAAAATAAAAAGCTTCTGCACAGTGAAGGAAACAATCAACAATACTAAAAGGCAACCTACAGAATGGGAGAAGATATTTGCAAATTACATATCTGATAAAGAGTTGGTATCCAAAATCTATAAAGAACTTATAAAACTGAACACCCCCAAAATGAATAATCTAGTTAAAAAATGGGCAGAAGGCACGAACAGACATTTTTCCAAAGAAGACAAATAGATGGCCAATAGACACATGAAAAGATGCTCAACATTACTCATCATCAGGGAAATGCTAATCAAAACCACAGTGAGATATCACCTCATACCCATCAGAACAGCTAAAATCAGCAACACAAGAAACAGCAAGTGTTGGTGAGGATGCAAAGAAAGGGGAACCCTCTTGTACTGTTGGGGGGAATATAAACTTGTGCAGCCACTATGGAAAGCAGTATGGAGTTCCTCAAAAAGTTGAACTACCCTGTGATCTAACAATTGCACTACTAGGTATTTACCCAAAGAGTACAAAAATACTAATTCAAAGGGATACTGCACCCCAATGTTTATTTATAGCATCATTAGCTAAATCATGGGAAGAGCCCAAATGTCCATCGACTGATGAATGGATAAAGAAAATGTGGTATGTAGACAGAATGGAATATTACTCAGCCATCAAAAAGAATGAAATTTTGCCATTTGCAATGACATGGATGGAGCTAGAGAGTATTATGCTAAGTGAAATAAATCAGAGAAAGACAAATACCATGTGAGTTCACTCATATGTGGAATTTAAGAAACAAAACAAACGAGCAAAGAGGAAAAAGAAAGAGAGAGAGAGAGGCAAATCATGAAACAGACTCTTAACTATAGAGAACAAACTGATGGTTACCAGAGAGGAGGTGGGTGGAAGGATGAGTTAATAGGTGATGGGAATTAATAGGTGCACTTGTTGTGACAAGCACTGGATGTTGTATGGAAGTGTTGAATCACTGTATTGTATACCAGAAACTAGTGTCGCGCTTTGTGTTAGCTAACTGGAATTTAAAGAAAAACTTAAAAAAAAAAAAAAAAGAAGAGGTGGTATAGAAACACCATGGAATACTATTTAAGCCATAAAAAAGAATGAAATCTTGCCATTTGTAATGACATGGATGAAGCTAGAGAGTATAATGCTAAGTGAAATAAGTCAGTCAGAGAAAGATAAATACCATATGATTTCACTCATATGTGGAATTTAAAAAGCAAAATAAACCAGCAAAAGGAAAAAAAAAAAAAAAAGAGACCAAGAAACAGACTGTTAACTATGGAGAACAATCTGATGGTTACCAGAGGGGTATGGGTGGGGGGATGGGTGAAATAGGTGATGGGGATTAAGGAGGGCACTTGTCCTGATGAGCACTGGGTGATGTATGGAACTGTTGAATCACTATATTGTGCACCTGAAACTAATATAACACTTCACCATATTGGAATTAGAATAATAATAAAAAGAAGACATAAAAAAATTACCATCATCTGTTCCTGGTCTAGTGGAACTTCTGAGCAACTGTGGAAATGTACATGCTTCCAAAGCTGGGTCTGTTTATCATCAAAGAAAGCCGTGAGTCCAGAACTCTTAAAGAGGCCTCCTCCCTCAGAGCAGCTTTTATCCAAAGATTTTAGGACCAAATGACTTCCATCTCATCTGAATTTTTACAGGCACAAATATATCATCATGGTGTTACAGTTGAACATGCATACTTTTCAGTGATTCTCACGAATAGGATGGTATTTATCATGTACTATGTAAAAACATTAAATAGAAGGCATCAAAAGTTTGTGGCTAACTGGATTCACTAAAAAAAAAAAGCCACCCCCTCACCTCAGCCCCTGATTAATTGCCTCTTTTTTTTTCACTCTTCAATCCACATGGTCTCCTGGAGTTTCCCAAAGACCCTTTGTGATTATGTAGGGATGCTTGGTTAGAACTACTCTTGGGAATCAGTTATCGGACTGAAGAAATGCCTTAGAGGTAGAAGAGATGGCTCTAGCTGTAAGCTTTTTGAAGTACCAAAGAGGAATTTGGAAGAGAATCCTAAATTTGTTTTAGGTCAGAAGTATCTAGGAAGGCTGTGTAATGGATGTGAACTACTATTTATAAACAAGTTGAATTCAGCTATCACCTGAGCAACTACCTAATGATGGATTTGGCATCTTTGAATGTACAATAATGTTTTCATTCTATTAGGGTAACTTGTAGCAAAATAATTTTAGGATGTATATATCTGTATCTTCACTGTATTTTTTAAATGGTTTAATACCGTTCTTATCTGCTACCCTGTTTCATTCATATATAGTATCATATACTGGAGTTATGTGGCTGTTGGACTGTGACTTGATATTGATAATGGATTGGAAAAAGTTGTAAAGAGCCAAGCAAACCATCTTCTACTATATGAATAGTTAATCAGCAATAAGAGTATCTTGCAGAAAATGCTGGAGTTTTAATGGATATTAGAAGATAGCACTCACTGTTGGAAGAGAAAATGGAAAAAAAAATGCCACACAGTATAAAATGAGGTCAGGTTACACTTACTCTGTATTCCTCGTAAAACAGGGAAGAATTGGTAGGCTCTGAAGTTTACCTTGTGTGTTCAACAGTCCACAAAGGGTTGGGCTTTATACTTACTAAATAGTACTTAAAACGATTGTTTTTGTTTTTTCCCCTACATGCTCTCACCCAAAGGTGAATTCACTTCCTTGTGTAATCACCCTGTCAAATGTTAATTTATCTCAACAACTTCTCATCGTGCTCTTACTATGTAGTAAGCACAGATTTTGGATAAGTATTGAATTTTAGATAGATCAGTGGTCAGTTGGGTTCGTTGAAAGGAGAGTACTTCTATTTGTCCCAGATAAACCTTACCCTGAGGGAAGAACTGGGAGATAGAAGAAAAGGTGTACTGATCAACAAGCCAGAATTGGGAAGACAAAGTGGTGATTGTTTGGGAAAGAGTATGTTATCAAGAATCCACTCTAACCAGTATATCTGGCTCTGTGGTTGTTCTGAGGGTGACTGAAAACTTCTAAGCCTTTGACACAACATGGAAGTTGTTTCTCGTATATGAAAGACTAATGCTGGGGAGTATGTTTTATTTACCCAGTTCATTTTTGCTTTATCTCATCCAACAAGCATTTATAAAGTATTTGCTTACTCTTTATTAACCAGTGTGCTAGGTATTCAAAACCAGTGGTTAAATCATTAGACTTGTGCTTAAGGGTCTTAGTATCTATGTTTTTATAGGAAAGAATTTTAAAAGTTCACTTCATAGAACATTGTGAGTGTTCTATATAATTTTAAACTTTGTGTAAGAAATAGTAAGTGGTTATTTTATTTATTTAAAAAGAAAAACATTTATTTAAAAGTAAAATTGGTGTTTTGTAAGTAACATGTCTGAAACTAAGATTAAAAATATATTCTTTTTATAACTTAAAAATGCCCAATCTAGGGGCCCCTGGGTGGCCCAGTTGTTTAAGTGTCTGACTCTTGGTCTCAGCTCAGGTCTTGATTTCAGGGTTGTGAGTTCAAGCCCCACACTGGATTCCATGCTGGGCATGGAGCCTACTTAAAAAAATTATATATATATATATAATATAAAAAATAAAGAAATAAAAATACCCAAACTAAAAAACTCAAACACTATAAAAACAATATTCAATAACAAATTAAATTCCCTTCTACTCCAGAGCTTTCCTTCAACTCCACATCTCCCTCCCCAGAAACAACTATTTATCAGTTTCCTGTTTCATATTTTGAGTAATAGTTTAAGCACACACAAACATATGTGATTCCAGTTCCATTTTCATACAAATGGGAACATAATACATAAACTCTACTGCTCCTTGTACTTTTTCAGGTCTATTGCAGTCCTTTTAACTGACTGCTCAGTATTCCATTGTCTGGGTGAACTGTTCATTATTTAACCATCCCTTGCCAATGAACATTTAAAATTTCCCCAGGTTTTTGCTCTTATAGACAGTTATATATAAAAATTTATCTATTTTTTTACATATATCTTTCCCATGTGTGTTATCTTTGGGATAAATTTCTAGAAGTGAAATTCTAGAAGCTGGGTCAAAGAGTATATAGTTCTAATTTTGATAGATACCGTCAAAGGAGGTTCATGGGGGTTGACCAGTTTATACCATTAGAGCTAGATCAGAATACCTGAATCCCCACATTCTTACCAGAACACTGCATTTTAAAACTTTTTGACCTTTGCCTGTTGGCTAGGTGAAAATGTTATCTCATTTTAACTTTTCTTTCTTTATGACTAAAGTTGAACATCTTCTTATGGATTAAAAGCCATTTGTTAGTATTTGTTTTGTGAACTTCTGGTTTCATGTCATTTGCCTTTTTCTTATTGCCTTACTGATCTTTTTCTGATCAAGTTGTAAGAGTTCCCTTCTCTCTATATAAGAAAATTTGCCCTTTGTTGTATGTGCTGCCAGTATATTTTGCAGTTTGTTGTTTATGTTTTGACTTATGACACTTTTTTCTTTGTATATTTAAAAAAAAATTCTTATGCTGTCAAATTTATTTTTTTTAATTTAACTATTTTATAGTTTTTATAGTTTTTTATAGTGTTTTACTTAGAAAACACTTTCACTTTTAGAGGCAAGAAAGATTATCTGTTGTTTTCTTCTAGTATTTTCATGGATTAATTATATTTGCCTTTGATCAATCGGAATTTATTGTTATGAGAAGCGAGGGAGATAGAAATTTAGTTTTCTTTTTTTTCCAGCCTACTAGAATCTATCTTTTCTCCACCTGTTTGAAGTTTTATTGTATACTAAATTCTTATATAAGTGGGTCTATTGCTGGACATTTTTCTATTTCATTGCTTTTCATGCACCCAGTGAAACTTTTAATCACTATAGCTTTATAGTATTTTATTTTATTTTTTTTTAAGATTTTACTTATTTATTTGAGAGAGAGAATGAGACAGAGAGAGAGAGCACGAGATGGGGGAGGGTCAGAGGGAGAAGCAGACTCCCTGCCGAGCAGGGAGCCCATTGCGGAACTCGATCCAGGGACTCCACGATCATGACCTGAGCCGAAGGCAGTCGCTTAACCAACTGAGCCACCCAAGCGCCCGCTTTATAGTATTTTAAAATCTAGCTATACTAGCATGTTTCATTTTATTATCTGACCTTTAGAATCAGCTTATCTGATTGCAAATGACAACAATGACAAAAATTCTGTTAGTATTCTTATTGAGATTGCATTGCCTTTGTAATTTAATTGAGATAAGTTGATAATTTTACAATACCCAGGAACAGGATACTTTTAAAATTTATTTGAAACTGTATTACGGCTTTCTGGAGTCTTAAAGTTCGTATAGGATTTTTTACGTTTGTTATTAAACTTATTCTTAGGAATTTTTTGTTTAGTTACTGCTCTTATAAATGGGATCTTTTTTGGCATAATGTTTTCTGAGTTTTTTTGTTTGTAATAGTTTTTCCAGTTTCATCTCATAGGTCTTTTTATCCAATTATATTAAATGTAAATGCTGATAATTTTGCCTCTTCTTTTGCTGGTTGGGTCTTTCATTTCTTTCTCTCTTCTAATTGCATTGACTCATACTTTTCGGATAGTGTTAAATGATAGTGGTGATAATGTGTATCTGTTTTGTTCCTGAATTTAGTAGGATTGTTTCTAGAATTTTAACATTAGTCACAATACAGGCCTTGGATTTCAGATACACACATACCCCCATATAATCACGTTAAGGAACTATAACTACTTTTTTGTTTTATTAAGAATTTTTAAGGCGTGGGTGCCTGGGTGGCTCAGATGGTTAAGCGTCTGCCTTCGGCTCAGGTCATGATCCCAGGGTTCTGGGATCGAGTCCCGCATCAGGCTCCCTGCTCCTTGGGAGCCTGCTTCTCTCTCTCTCTCTCTCTCTCTCATGAATAAGTAAATAAAAATCTAAAAAAAAAAAAAGATTAAAAAAAAAAAGAATTTTTAAGGCGTGCCTGGGTGGTGCAATCAGCTGAGCGTCTGACTCTTGGTTTTGGCTCAGGTCGTGATCTCAGGGGTGGTGGGATCAAGTCCTGAGTGGGGCTCCATGCTTGGTGCGTCTGGTTGGGACTCTCCCTCTCCCTCTGTCCCTCCCCTCTGTGTGCTCTCTTTCTCTCTCTCTCTAAAATAGATAAATCTTAAAAAAAGAATTTTTAAAATTAGGAATTTATATTGAATTTTATCAAACATGTTTCTAAATTTATAAATATTATCATTTTTTTCTCCTTTGACCTGCTAATGAGATCTGGTAAATCTAATACTGAACCATCTTTGTCTTACTAGTAAAAACCTCACATGATCATGCATGTATTATCCTTTTAAAGTATTGATGGATTCTGTTTATTGATATTTTCATCAAGATTTCTATATTGATATTTACATGAATATCTGTATGAATCATAAATGAGATGGCTCTATGGGCTTTTATCTTTTTTAAAGGGTACTTGAATCAGTTTTTTTTCTGGCAGTATACAAAGAATTTTTTTAATTTTGTTTTTAAATTTATTTATTTGAGAGAGAGAATGAGATAGAGAGCATGAGAGGGGGGAGGGTCAGAGGGAGAAGCAGACTCCCTGCCGAGTAGGGAGCCCGATGTGAGACTCGATCCCAGGACTCCAGGATCATGACCTGAGCCGAAGGCAGTCGCTTAACCAACTGAGCCACCCAGGTGCCCAGTATACAAAGAATTTTAAATCTTTCTACCTTTTACTCCCACACATTTAAATATCATTAGAATTATCCATTCCTTTGAAAATCTGGTAGAATTTGTCTGTGTAGCTATTTGGAATTGGTGCTTTGTGAGGTAGGGCATTGATGTATTTCTTAGTTACAACATAGGTTTATTAGCCTATTTTGATGGAGTCTAACACTAATTAATGACACGATGTTTATATATTTGATACTATTTGTGAGAGTTTGGATTATCATTTTTAGCTGTTGGATATTCTTCATAGAGATAGGACAGAGGGACAAAGTCAGGCTTCGGGGAAGTTGCTGAGGGATAGCAGAACCTACCATGGGAAAACCAGCCATATCCTGGTCATTGAAGGGTTGGCATTGAGATTTATGTATGTAACTTCATATTTTCTCATTCATTTTAGTCAAAATGTGGATGTTTGACTGGGGAAGGAAATTGTTAAGGATTATATCTGTCAGGGTTAAGCTGATCTGGTAGAGTTATTTGCAGGCTGTACAGTGTTCGTAGAGGATGCTAGGCACTAAAAGGCTTCTTTAAGTCATCTTCATTTGAATTTGAGCTGTTTTGGCCAATACATTTATTTATTTATTTGTATTTATTTATTTATTTTCTTTTATCCAAAATCTGTTTATTGGGATCGTGTCCCACTCACCTTGCTTCAGGGAGCTTTTAGTGCTGCTTCGGCCTGAAGGAGCATCCTTCTGTAAGCTTGCTTTTCCTCCCGTGGGCTGGCAGAGGCCTGCAGAGCAGCCGGCACATAGAACTACCATTTGTGCGTGGCTACAGACGGTGGGGATTTTGTGGCAGCCCAGGCACTTCCCGTCCGTGAAGCAGGAGTGGGGGCTCTGCACGGGGCGCTGCTTCTTGTGCTTCCTCTTCTCCTCTTCTGGGGACAGGTGCAGGAGGTCCTTCCCGAGGGCCATGTTCTCATGGGTAGGTCGTCAACCGCCGAAAAGGTGGCCAGTACTCTCAGGTCTTTGACCTGGAAACACCTCACAGCTCACAGTATGCTCATGCTTTGTGGCCGGCTCCGTAAGTGCTTTTCTGTCTTCTGGTCTCACACGCTAGTTTTATCAAGGCTAAGGTCATAACACAGTCACTGCGGACGGCATTCTCCTAGACTCCCAGTGGTCATGAGACCATTTTTTAAAGAGGGTCATACGTGAAGAATTGGGTGTATACCTTAAAGAAGGACTGGAAAGAGCACACAGGCTTTGAGTCAATCAGATGTGAAGTCATGTTATTTTTGCCGTTGAACTACTTATTAGGCTTCCCCCAGCCTTCATCTGTAAATAGTCAATAGGGATAATAATATGTACTTTGCAGGGTTTTATGAAGATTTAATGAGATAATGTATCTGACGAACCTGGAGCATAATTAGCATTTAATAAACTTGA